GAGAGAGGGAACACAAGCAGGGCGAGTGGGAGAGGGGGAAGCAGGCCTCCCGCAGAGCGAGGAGCCCCATGCGGGGCTTGATCCCAGGACCCTGGGATCATGACCTGAGCCGAAGGCAGATGCTTAACGACTGAGCCACCCAGGCACCCCAAAAACCCATTTTTAAATTGAGGTATTGTCTTTTCGTTGTTAAATTGTAAGAGTTCTTTATATAGCCTAGATCCAGGTTCCTTATCAGAAATATTATTTGTAGGGGCGCCTGGGTGGCTCAGTCGTTAAGCGTCTGCCTTTGGCTCAGGTCGTGATCCCAGGGTCCTGGGATCAAGCCCCGCATCGGGCTCCCTGCTCAGAGGGAAGCCTGCTTCTCCCTCTCCCACTCCCTTTACTTGTGTTCCCTCTCTCTCTGTGTCTCTTTCTGTCAAATAAATAAAATCTTTAAAAAGAAAAAAGAAAAGAAATATTATTTGTAAATATTTTCTTCAATTCTATGGGTTGTCTTTTTACTTTCTTGATGGTATCATTTTCAGCATAGAGTTTTGATTTATTTTTTCTTTTGTCTCTTGCACTTTTGGTGTTATATCTAAGAAACCACGCCTGCCTAAAGTTATAAAGACTTGCTCCTGTGTTTTCTTCTAAGAGTCTTACACTTCCTATGATTTGCTCTGAGTTAATTTTTATATATGGTGTGAGATGAGGTTCCAACTTCATTCTTTTGCATGTGGATATTCAGTTGTCCCAGCACCATTTATTGAAAAGATACTCTTTCTCACTGGGTATATTTTGCTTTTATTTTTACTGGTTTCATTAGGGTACTCTTTTTTCAGGATATGTGAACAGCTTAGCTGGCTACAGGTCGTAAAGATTTTTAGACTCCAACAGTGATGTGGACGCAGATGCACATTAGGTGGAGAACATTTATGCCATCTGGTGGACAATGGATTAAAATACAAGATAGTCCTTTTGGGTCAGGTTGCCCATCTATTTGTACCTATCATTCTAAGAGAGGTGGTCACTGGTGTACTAAACTGATATTTTAAGAAGTGTGATTTTAAAATTTTAGCCTTATCTTCTTATGATCTCACTTTGTATACCAGGAAGATTATTTTTAGCCAAACTATTAGATCTCAGGCAGCCATTCTGATCTTGCTGGTTGTACCTTATGGTCAGCCAGTCTATCCCAGGAACGTCAAACTGTAACCAGCCCACCAGCTCTAGGGAGTCTTTGTGGAAAACTGAGAATCAGTGATGTCAGGCTCTCATTAATTTGAGGCTTGCCTGAGCTTTATTATTTTATAAAATGAAACCCTTTGTCAGAATCCCTGCCCCCCCCCCAATCTCCTTTATTTCCTCACTTATTTTGGAATTACCATTCATTTTGCTCCCAGGGAATGATAATAGGATGTCCACCACATTCTGGAGAAGATGGGATTCTTTGAGTTATTGTTCAGTTTCCGAGGGAATTGTGAAACTTAAAGACTTATGTGACACTTAAAAACAGTCCTGAAAGCAACATATTTTGATTGCATTTAGGGCATCAAACCGTCACCTGCGGCTCTCTTCCTGACTTGCCCATCCTTTAACGTTGTTTATGCAGCCTCCTTGACAGGGCAGACTAGACTCTCAGCCACAGTGATCCTGTGAATGTACCTGGTGAAGCCTTTCTCTATCAATTTCAACACCAGTCAAACTCATTTAGATCAACAACTTGAGGGAAAACAACAAACAAACAACTGTAGATTTGAGCTGTGAACTCCAGGGCTACAGCTACTATATTACAGCACTTTATTGTGTAATATGCTATATTACAGCATTTTAGGGACGGTAAACCATAAATGAAATATGAATTGACATTGTTTTATTGAAGCTCAATTAACACCTACCTTCTCCCTCCTCCAAACTATGTGAGGATGATTAGAATGCTAAATCAGGTGACACTTTTCACCAAGATGGCAATTTGGTAGATATTTTATGACTGTGTTCTTGTTTACAAACTTGGACAATTGTGGGATATATTTAGTGCTGTAATATAGTAGCTGTAGCCCTGGAGTTCACAGCTCAAATCTACAGTTGTTTGTTTGTTGTTTTCCCTCAAGTTGTTGATCTAAATGAGTTTGACTGGTGTTGAAATTGATAGAGAAAGGCTTCACCAGGTACATTCACAGGATCACTGTGGCTGAGAGTCTAGTCTGCCCTTTACAGGTCTAAAAACTTGGTTTTGTCAGTGAACCTAAATGTAACCAGGTTCTTTGGCACAAACTCACAACGGTCAGTCATGAAACTGGACACTAATTTATTAATTTACAATGAGAACTCCAGCTTTTCCAGTATACATTCATCTCTGCTGGTCATGATTCCCTGTTCCCGGAAATATGATACCTAAGAAGTTAATTGACAATTAGAAGGCTGATTGGTAAGCAGGGAATCAGGAAATGAAATTAGTAGTCCCGAGGGACATTTCATCAAGGCCAAAACTATATGTCTTACATAGTTTCCTGTCCACAAAGAGAATAAGCTCTCCCAGTAAATAGAATACTCTGGGCTACTAGATTCAGCATTTCTCTGTTTTTGGACAGGTTGGATAAACTCTGCCAAATTCTTGTTCTTTGGCTCCCCTTTTCTGGACCAATACCCCTTTTCTTTTCTTTCCTTTTTTCTTATATGTCTTAATTTCTTTCTTTCTTTCTCTCTTTCTTTCTTCTTTCTTTCTTTCTTTCTTTCTTTCTTTCTTTCTTTCTTTCTTTCTTTCCTTTTTTCTTTCTTTCTGAGAGGGAGGGAGGGAGAAAGTATGAGTAGGGGGAGGGGCAGAGGGAGAGAGAGAATTTTTTTTTTTTTTAAGATTTTATTTATTTATTTGAGACAGAGAGCATGAGAGGGAGGAGGGTCAGAGGGAGAAGCAGACTCCCTGCCGAGCAGGGAGCCCGATGCAGGACTCGATCCCGGGACTCCAGGATCATGACCTGAGCCGAAGGCAGTCGCTTAACCAACTGAGCCACCCAGGCGCCCGTGAGAGAGAGAATCTTAAGCAGACCCCCCCCCCCGCAACCCGAGCGTGAAGCCTGATGTGCAGCTCCATCTCATGAGCCTGACATCATGACCTGAGCCAAAATCAAGAGTCAGGCACTTAACTGTGCCACCCAGGTACCCCATATGTCCCCTTTTCCATAGGACATTGTTCTTTACATATGTTAACAAAAGGATTAGCTGTGGCCTGTGTTTTTGCTTCCTTGGTTGTTGCCAGTTATGAGACTATATGAGGCTAGATAACTGGCCACATAGAGCAGATGTGGCAGTTTCTCATGTCTCTATGTTTCATATTTCCCATCTCTTCAGCATATCCCCTATGTGAGACTTCACAGTTGCTAGAAGAACCATATCAGCAAGTTCTGTGGGGAAAAGCTCATCATAGCCAATTATATATTTTGTGTTCCTTTTACATTAAGGTCCACCTATTCATATTAATTCATTAGTTTCAAAATAATCTCAGAAACTTCAATTATTCCTTCCTAGCTTGCTCTGACCTTTATTCTTTCTTGACAGGATAGTCCATTTGGGCACATTATCTTAGCTCCCTAGTCTTTTTTCTTATTCACAAGGTTGGGCAAAGATTAGTTCTGTTTCTTCTGTGTTCTCTGAATTTAACCACAAGCTTTCATCAGCCTCATTGTGGAAAAACATATTTCCTTTCCTACTGATAGTCTCACCCCTTGGAGTTACTCTTCTTTCTAGTAGCACTTTTTAAAAGCAGTATCAATGAAAAAAAAAATAGCTTTTTGCCTAAGAAACACTAAAGTAGGTTATAATATCTTTGCTTTAGAATCATGGCTTAGGGGCGCCTGGGTGGCTCAGTTGTTAAGTGTCTGCCTTCGGCTCAGGTCATGATCCCGGGGTCCTGGGATCGAGCCCCGCATCGGGCTCCCTGCTCCGCGGGAAGCCTGCTTCTCCCTCTCCCACTCCCCCTGCTTGTGTTCCCTCTCTCGCTGTGTCTCTCTCTGTCAAAATAAATAATCAGATCCATAATTAATTTCCAGGTATTATGAACTCTTATTTGCCAAAGCTTAAAAATAATATATGTTCTAGTACCTTCCTTTTCATCTTGTTGGATTTTTTGCTCATAGTCTCTCATGCTTTTTTTCCTGATTTTCCTTGCTACCATATTCTCTATGTCACTTTTAGCCACAGCTTTGATTGCTTACTATTTGGAATGTTCCAACTGTAATTTTTTCCCTTGGCCCAGATTTGTTTGATTTCTAACTATGTAAAAATGAGCAAGAAAGCAAAACTTACTGCTCTATAGCTGATTGAAATAGGAAAATAATTTGAGGTTTAGAGGATAATAAGTTTTATTTTTTCTTTCAATTATAAAATTAAGAAAGTTTAGAAAAAATATAGAAAACTAGAAAAAGGGAGAAAAATCCATATTCTGCCACCCAAAGTAATCACCATTACTGTGTTTCTTCATCTTTTCCCCTATGCATAACTGTTCATATATTTTAAACTTGTGACCATGCTTGGTTAATAATATAATTACTATAAATACTTTGTTTTATTTTTAAGATTTTATTTATTTATTTGAGAGAAAGAATGAGAAAAAAAGAACATGAGTGGGGGGAGGGTCAGAGGGAGAAGCAGACTCCCCGCTGAGCAGGGAGCCCGATGTGGTACTCCAGGATCATGACCCAAGCTGAAGGCAGTTGGCTCAACCAACTGAGCCACCCAGGTGCCCTACTATAAATATTTTAGATAAACTGGGTCATGGCCTCAGCTTGGCTAGAAATGCATTTGTATCATTTTAAATAGATCTTTAAAGGTGTTTGGTAAATATTTATTAAATGAAATGAGTGAATCCTTGTCCCTCTCTGTGCCTCAATTTTCCCATGTCTCAAGCAGGATAAACTAGTTTACAAGAGGTTTGTGAGGATTAGTGAAAAACTAAATGTTCAAAGCAGCTAGGTCTTGTCATAACTCTCCTGGCTATACTATCACATTTTTTTTTTCCCTAGAGAGCACTGCTGGAGAAGAAGCAGAGAAAAAAACGCCTTGAGCCACTCATGGTACAGCCAAATCCAGAAGCAAGGGTACGTCGATCAAAGCCAAGAGGTAGCGAGGAGCAAACTCCATTGGTGGAAGCTCATACCCCGCAGAACGATGTCATCCTACAAGGTGTGTGTTTAGGCAGCATCTCTTCCCACTAGGGTACAGTTTTCATAAACCTAGGAGAAGGCAGAAAGATTCTCAGATGGACCAGAGGGACAATATTAGCATTGTTACTAGGTACCTTCATAAATTTTCATAATCACGTTCTGGGTCTTTGAATTAAAATAAAAGCAGTGGTTTAATTAGTGGAAGATACCTTGAAGTTTGTGTCCATCCTAGAGCTATTGTTTTCATTGCCAAATGAATTAGTCCAGAATGGCCTATTTGAGGAACTTACAGTCTTGATTGTCACATCATGGTGAAGTTAACTGTGACGCCGGGAGTGGTAGAGAGCACCCATTCTTCCAAAAGATAGGACTCAATGGACCACGTGAGGTGGTACGCTGTTGACTTGGACAGGATCTGAACTTTGGCGGACCTACTTTGTTTTCACAGTCTCATTCTTTAGTTTCTGAAGCATGACATCAAGTACATTTTATTTAGTAACAGTCAGAACATGTTAATAAAATCAACACCAGTCTGAGTTACTCTACTAACAAACGTCCACGTGGATGTTAAGGAATGAGAAGTGAAATGCTTTGGTGGTTCTTAATTCTGATCACATACACCAAAACCACCCTGCCAAATAACAGATAATACTTTCCTCTTTTTCCTCTCTTTTGGACCGTAGGCATTGATGGTCCAGCGGCCTTCTTGAAGCCAGATGCTCAAGATTTGGAAACCAAACTTCATGTTCTCTCAGTAGGCGCTTCTGCTACAGAAGAGGATACAGAAGGAAGTGTTGATGGGGAAAGCACTTTGGAGACTGTGTCCAAGCCAGATCTCCAGGAGATTCTCCAAAAACATGGTGAGGATTGGTAATGATTGTAAGGCAGTTAATCATCTTAGCCACATATAATAATCTTTTCCTTTCCTTTCTTTCATTGTCGGTTAACTATCTAGATGATTCAAAACTGCTTGGAATATGGCTTATGGCTTTACAGAGGTGACAGTATTAGGTATCTTTGACATCTGAGAATTGACTATTATCAGCCATGGTAGTATTTACCCTATTACCTGAGAAAAATAAGATAATTACATATAAATTATCAGCAGCATCAGCTACTATATGTGGCTATTTCTTTTTGACATTTTATTTTTATTTTTTTTATTTTTTTATTATTATTATTTTTTTAAAGATTTTATTTATTTATTTGAGACAGAGAGAATGAGAGACAGAGAGCATGAGAGGGAAGAGGGTCAGAGGGAGAAGCAGACTCCCTGCCGAGCAGGGAGCCCGATGCGGGACTCGATCCCGGGACTCCAGGACCATGACCTGAGCCGAAGGCAGTTGCTTAACCAACTGAGCCACCCAGGCGCCCTGACATTTTATTTTTAGTTCCCACTCCTTTCTTTTGACAAAGTTGCCACTCAACACCCCTACTCAGCCTCCATTTCACAGTTTTTATTGATCTAGTGATAAGGGGAAAGATAAGTAGTGGCTGAAGAGAAACACAAATTGGATCAAAATATTCTTAAGCTAATAATACTTTTCTCACTAGAGCCTACTTTCTGCCAGTTGGAGTTATCACTTCCACAGTTATTCCTGTACATTTCAGAGATCTCTTGTAGTTATCTTTCCTTCTTAGAAAAATGATTTTCTAGATCTAGGAAGAAATTAAGCGTCCCCTTTTCAGATGAGAAGACTGAAACCCGGTCATGAATAAATATTTACTGGGTGCCTACTTAATAATAGGTAGGCATTGTAGGGCCTGGGATGTGTGAATCAGGAGAGTCTACCACAGAATGGTAGAACAGAGGTACATTCAAACAAATTCACATATTCATTCATTTACAAAATATGTATTGAGTATCTACTAATATACTAGGCATTGTTACAGGCATGTAGGCTACAGCAGTAAACAAGGGTCCTGCCCTCCTGAAGTGTTTATTCTAATTGAGGCATCATGTACTTAAATAGCCAGGAGAGCATCGAGAGGGGTACCTAACCCAGAGCTGACGGTTTGGAAAGCTTTCCAGAGAAAGTGATGTCTAAGCTACAGCCTGATACAGGAGGAGGGGCTGGCCAGTTCAGAATGGCTAGAGCACACGGTATGAGCGGCTAAGGTGGGAAGAGGGTACTAGAGGAGTGAGCCTGGATGGGTAAGTGGGCTCTGATTATGTAGGCCAGTACAGGCCATGTTAGGAATTTGGACTTTATTTGAAGAGTAACTGGAACCTATGAGGGAATTTAATCTGAGGAATATTATCATCTGATTTGGGCTTAATGGGAAAACTAAGAAAAATTACCCTGCACCATAAAGAATTAATTGGAGGTTGGCGGGAGCAAGTATGGAAGCAGGAAAACTTAGGGAGGAGATGGTTCGCCTGGTGGCTGACCTAGAGTTATAATGTGGTATATGCAAGAGTAAAAACCAGGGAGAAATAGAATTACATTGCTGGGGCAATGAGAAGGGACAAGAAAGGCATCAAAAGAGAGTGATTAAGCTGAGCCAGGAAGGATGCACGACCTCCTGTGTATTGGTGCATCTGTCAAAGCAGCTGTAGACTGATATTTTGAATGTCTCTTATATGTCAGGCACTTGATATACATTATCTCAATTAATTTAAAATGTATAGGGGTGCCTGGCTGGCTCAGTTGGAAGACCGTTTGACTCTTGATCTAGGGGTCGTGAGTTCAAGCCCCACATTGGGTGTAGAGATTACTAAAAAAAATAAATAAACTTTAATATTTATAACAGTACTTTGAGGAGTTCATACATATTAGTCTCTCCATTTTATATATAAGAAAATTATATGTATTACATATGTAATTATATGTAGCCTCTCAGGCTAAGTAATTCGTCCTTGGTCACACTGCGGGTAAGGTGACAAACTTGGGCGGAAGAAAGAACATGTGCAAAGGCACTGGGTAAAAAGTCGTGCTATGTTGTGAGAACCAGGACAGATGGCGGGAGCGCAGGGTGTGGGAGCGGCCATGGTGAGTGGACTCAGAGCACAGCTCTGAAACGCGGGGTCCTGTTGGTTTCTGAATCTCAACTCTGCCACATCTGGCTGGGAAAGGGGGAGCACAGCTTCACTCTCCTCTGCCTTTGTTTCCCTGTCTGTAATAGGAATATGATTGTGGCACTTCCCTATTATTTTACTACCACTGTTGTTTTGACAAAAGAAAGTGAGTGATGTGGAGGAGTCAGAGCAAATACAACCTTCGTTTAACCAGAAGCTAAGTTACCCCAAGTCATCTAGCTGAATAGTGGCAGACCTAGTTTTTCTGATTCTTAGTCTAGTTCTATATCCCTTACTGTAAATACCGAGTTGTCCCCTTTTGCCTATGAAGTGACTGCTATGTTTTTTTCCTAAGAACTGGCCTTTCAGTACCGCATGGATTAAGGCCTTTTTACAACTCAACAAGTTGCATCTTTTTTTGTTTTTTAAGATTTTATTTATTTACTTGAGAGAGAGAGAGAGAAAGCATGAGAAGGGAGAGTGTCAGAGGGAGAAGCAGACTCCCCGCTGAGCCGGGAGCCTGATGCGGGACTCGATCCTGGGACTCCAGGATCATGACCTGAGCTGAAGGCAGTTGCTTAACCAGCTGAACCACCCAGGCACCCAACAAGTTGCATCTTGACCATAAGACCCATTAAGCACTTTCATAAGATCTACGATGTGTCAGTTGGCAGATTATGTCCCTTAAATGGGTCCGGTTTGTTTTTTCTACAAGTTTGGGAGAAATCTTTGATCTCCATCTTAAGACATATATTCACATAAGCTGAGTTCTTGGTATAAAAATGGCACTTGTAGCATAGTACTAAGTGAAAATATCCATGATTGTGAGGTTTTATGCCTTTTTGCTACAAAAGAAGAAAAGGTTAACATTTTAGAAAACATGTCCTTCACAAACCAAAGAATTTTTTTATAATAGCTTTATTGAGATGTAATTAACATACCATACTCTTCACCCATTTAAAGTGAACAGTGGGTGTGGGAGGGGAAGATGGAAGCAGAGTAGGAGGTCCCTGGGTTCACCTCGCCCCACGAATACAACTAGATGACTATTAAATCATCCTGAATACCCCAGAAATTGATCTGAAGACTGGCAGAACATACTCCACAACTAAAGGTAGAGAAGAGGCCACAGCTGAAGAAGGCAGGAAGTGTGGAAACATGGTTTGGGAGAGAAATGGATCGTGGCTGCTGTGGTGGGGAGGGAGCTGTAGTCATGGAGAAGGGCAAGAGACAGACTAACACACAGGGAAGCTCAGGGGGAAAACAAATCCCCATAGCAGTTGGCTTGGAAAGCAAGAGAGGCTGAATTTCCTGAGTTCTTGCAACCAGCAAGGCTTAAAGCCTAGAGTCCTAAAGGTCAGTGGGCTTGGTTCAGGGAGAGCCTGGAGGGCACTGTGCTGCTCTTGGAGGAAAGGCAGCAAACAACCTGTGGACGTACAGAGTGGAAACAGTGATCTGAAGAGTGCCCAGGGCACACAGCGGGGAAGTTATTTGTTCATCTTGGAGCATTTCCCAGAGAGATAGTGATTAAGAAAAAATATTAAAAGCATCAAGGCAGGGGCACCTGGGTGGTGTAGTCAGTTGAGTGGCTGACTCTTGGTTTTGGCTGAGGTCATGATCTCGGGGTCGTGAGGTTGATCCCTGCATCAGGCTCTGTACTCAGTGTGGAGTCAGCTTGAGTCACTCCCTCTCCCTCTGCCCCTCCTCCCTGTATGCTCACTCTCTCACTTGCTCTCTCTCTCTCAAATAAATAAAAGGAGCAGCAAGGTAAAAAGAAAACAATTACGTACAAAGGAAACCCCATAAGGATATTCAGCGGATTTTTCAGCAAAAACTTTCCAAGCCAGAAAAGAATGGCATGATACATTCCAAGTGCTGAGTGGGAAAAACCTGCAGCCAAGAATACTCTATCTAGCAAGGCTATCTTTCAGAATAGAAGGAGAGATAAAGAGTTTCCCAGATAAACAAAAACTAAAGGAGTTTGTAACCACTAAATCAGCCCTGCAAGAAATATTAAAGGGGACTCTTTTTTTTTTTTTTTTAAGATTTTATTTATTTATTTAACAGAGAGAGAGAAAGGAGAGCACAAGCAGGGGGAGCAGCAGAGGAAGAGGGAGAAGCAGGCTCTCCACTGAGCAGGGAGCCCGATGAGGGGCTCAATCCCAGGACCCTGGGATCATGACCTGAGCTGAAGGCAGAGGCTTAACAGACTGAGCCACCCAGGCACCCCTAAAGGGGACTCTTGAGTGGAAAGGAAAGACCAAAAATGACAGTATGAGGATAGGAAACATAAAAGCAGTAAAAAACATTTCTGTAAAAAATCAGAACTTACAAAATTAAAGGATGTAAAATATGATACCATATACCTAAAATTTGGGGAGGAGAGAAGTAAAGAATGGGTTCAAACTTAAATGACCACCAACTTAATATAGATTGCTATATGTTATATACAAACTTAATGGCAACCACAAATCAAAAACCACTAATAAACATGCAAAGAATAGAGAAAGAAATCCAAATATATCACTAAAGAAAACCAGCAAACCATGAAAGGGAGAAGGACAAGAAAGGATTAGAGAAAAATCTTCAGGAACAACCACAAAACAAGTAATAAAATGGCAATTACATAAAATTTACCATTTTAGCCGTTTTTTTTAAGTGTACAGTTCAGTGACACTAAGTACATTCACGTTGTTATGCAACTATCACCACAATCCATCTCCAGAACTTTTTCATGTTCCCATAATAAAACTCTGTCTCACTAAGTAATAACTCCCCATTCTTCTGTCCCCTGTTTCCCTGGTAACCACTATTCTATGAAATTTCTGTCTCTGTGCATTTGACTACTCTAGATTTCTCACATAAGTGGAATCATACATTTGCACTTTTAAAAATACTTGTTCTTTTGTGACTGGCTTATTTTACTTAGCATAAGGTCCTTCAAGGTTCACCCATGTTGTAGCCTGTGTCAGAATTCCATTCCTTTTTAAAGCTGAGTAATATTCCATTGTATGTATATACCATAATTTGTTTATCTGTTTATCAGTTGATGGATATTTGGGTTGTTTTCACCTTTTGGATATTGTGAATACTGCTGCTGTGAACATTGGTGTACAAGTTTGTTTGAGTCTGTGCTTTCCATCCTCTTGGTATATACCCAGAAGTGGAATTGCTGGATCCTGTGGTAATTCTGTATTTGAATATATGGGGAACCACCATACTGTTTTCCACAGTGACTGAACCATTTTACGCTGCCACCAGCAATGCACAAGGGTTCCAATTTCTCCACATCCTCGGCAATACTTATTTTCTGGGGTTTTTTTTTATAATAAACATCCCAGAGCTTTTTAGTGTATCTCATTGTGATTTTGATTGGCATTTCCCTAATGATGAGTGCTGTTGAGCATCTTTTCATGTGCTTATTGGCCATTTATATATCTTCTTTGAAGAAATGTCTATTCGTGTGCTTTACCCATTTCTGGGTAAAGGGCTATTTGTTTTGTTGTTTGTTTTGTTGTTGTTGCTGAGTCTGTGTTGTAGGAGTGCTTTATCTATTCTGGATATTAATCCTTTATGGAAAGGGAAAAGAAGGGATAGGTCTGAGTGAGAATACGAAGAAAGAATTGTCAAAATTTGGATGAAGTAGCTATGTTTTAATCAGAAGAGCTGGAATGTTTTAAGCAAGAAAATTAAAATTATATTTGGTTCGACGATTTATTTATTAAACCAGTGTTGGCAGTTTTTGACAGTTCTTCCTTTCTGCCAGGTATCTCAGGTAGTTTGAACTTCGATGAAGAGGAGACCGATGGAGAGGAAGAAGGGAAAAAATTATGTCATTCACCATATTCAGAGGCAGAGAGACCCAATTCTGCATCCAGCCAGAAATCAACCACAGTATGTAGTTCTGAAACTTCTTCCTGGGGAACTATTTCCCAAATGTATCTCTAGTATTTAAACACGATTACTGAATGAGGGTTCCTTCGAAAGATTGAAGCTCAAATTTAGACTTGAAGTTCATGACCTCCCTAATTTCTTGTGTCTCAAGCCAGCTCTTGTGAAGTTATATCCCACTTTTGTACTTCGCTCCTTCATTACTCCCAATATTCACATACTTATTTAACTTCGCAGAGTTTCCCCTTATTTTGTCAGAAGACTAGAGACATTGGGGTAAATCACGATTTATTTCGCCCGTTGTTTCTGGAAGAGAATAAGTTTTCTATTCCACCTCCTATTGCTCATGGCTGTTCTTTCAGGATGCGGGAGCTTCCGGTACTGCAGCCCAACAAACGGATAACCAGCTGGGAGAAGTGGAGAACTTAGAGGACTTTGCATATAGTCCTGCCCCTCGGGGGATTACAGTCAAGTGTCGGATAACCAGGGATAAAAAAGGAATGGATCGGGGTCTCTTCCCCACTTACTATATGCACTTGGAAAAGGATGAAAACCGGAAGGTATGAGAATTGATTCTTAAGATAGATCTTGAGCTAGAGGGGGAGAATGTTGTGGGACTAGATTGTTGAAGGATCTTGGGATAGGAAAATAGCACTGGTTTCAGACCAAGTCAGCAACTCCCAGTTACTGTGTTCTGTCTTCAAGGAGCTCAGAGTCTCAGAGGTAAAATCTACCCCACCCCAAAGAAAAAGAGTTTTATCCAGAATATAAGAAAATGGAAGAGAATATTTGAATGTAATTATTTGCACCTCTATCCTATTTTTTTGTGGAAGGGAGGGTGTTACTGTGTGTTCTTTGGTTTTTATTTTAATTATGGTGGAACATGACACTGTGCAAGTTTTAGGGAATAGGGGAACTGGAAATAGAGAAAGACATGCAAGTGAAATGTCTTATTTCTCACTCTAGAAATTCTAATTTACTTTAAACACAACTTTGAGGCAATTTAATACTTGCTAATGAACACTGTATTTTGTTTTGCTACCGGGTCTAAGTGGATGATATTAAGAGCATAGAAAGGAGATGATGATTGATACCATTCTTATTATAACCGCTAATTTATTGTTTATGATGTACCAGGCATATGTTAAGTGCTTCATGTATATATTATCTCTTATAATCCTTATCACAACCTTGTAAGAGAGGCTTTCTTATCCCTGCTTTATAGATGAGTAACTGGGGCTTAAGGAGTGACATACCTGCCCCAAATCATACTGATAAGTGCCAGCGCCAGAGTCAGACCCCTATCTGTTTGAGCCCACAGTCCCTTCCTTAGCTGCTGCCATTCTCCTGCTTCCCTGTTGTTGTCCAAATCCAGTAGGGTTTGGGAAGGATGCACAAGTATGACAGTATTCATGCCACTGAAGTCACAGGGGTTTAAAACAACAACATACAGGGCGCCTGGGTGGCTCAGTCAGTTAAGCGTCTGCCTTCGGCTCAGGTCATGACCCCAGGGTCCTGGGATCGAGCCCCGCATCGGGCTCCCTCCTCCGCGGGAAGCCTGCTTCTCCCTCTCCCTCTCTGCTACACCCCAGGGAGCCTGCTTCTCCCTCTCCCTCTGCTGCTCTCTCTCTTTCTCTCTCTGTATGTCAAATAAATAAATAAAATATTAAAAAAAATACAAAAGGAATATGAGGAAAGCAGCCGCGGTAAAGAATGGGAAGGGTGAGTGTTCAGCGTCCTGTCTCTCCTGAAGTTGGAAGGACCCTTCCTCGCCAAATCGGATGAAGCTTTTTTGAAAAAAACCACTGGAGGTTTTAGGGATAAAGTTGCACCTAGTTGTAGTAGCCACCCCCCCCCCGCCCCCTGCCAAGTTTTGCTTTCTGTGGTTTCAGTCACCTGCAGTCACTGCCATCTGGAAGCAGATGGGCCCTTCTTCTGACATAGGTTCGGCAGGTCAATAGTAGCCTAACGCCCCCTCTCTTCATCTCATTACATAGGCATTTTAAAATCTCACATCAGCACGAGAAGAAGGGGAGTACAGTACAGTGAGATATTTTGAGAGAGAAAGACCACATTCATATAACTTTTATTATAGTATATTGTCAGAATTATCATGTTATTGTTGCTAGTCTCTTGCTATGCCTTATGTATAAATTAAACTTTGTCATATGTATGTACAGTAAAAAACAGTTTGTAGAGCATCCACCGGGGGTGTAGGCATCCACCGGGGGTCTTAGTGATAAGGGGTGTCTGTTGTATATGGAGAATCCAGCTAAGTGAATTTTGAAAAGTTGTACAGTAGGGAATCCCTGAAAGTGAATTCTGAGAAGCATTATAAGGGTTAGAAAAAGAGATAAAGCCCCCAAGATTGGTCTTCTCCAAGAAAACACCAAACGGCAGGTGAGACTGGTGCCTCTGGAGGCCCTGGGATGGGAGGCCACACGGCTGCATGGCCTCCACAGCCGTCAAGGCCAAGGAGCTCATGGCAGCAAGAGCAAGGATGAGGAGTGGATGCCTCTCACCAGCCTAAGTTGTCTGCGCAAGGACATGAAGTTCAGGTCCCTGGTCCGCCTGCCCATCAGGGACTCTGAGGTCATTGAGGTTTTCCTGGGATCGTCCTTCAAGGATGAGGTTTTTGAAGATCATGCCATTGCAAAAGCAGACCCATGCTGGTGGGCAGACGAGGTTCGAGGCATGTGTTACCATCAGGGATCCCAGCAGACACCTGGGTCGGTGTTAAATGCTCCAGTGTGGTAGACGCTGACATCCGTGGGACCATCATTCTGGCCACGTTTTCTAGTCCCAGTGCAGCAAGGCCTCTGGGAGAACGAGATCAGCAAGCTCCACACCGTCCCTTGTAAGGTGACCGGACGCTGCAGCTCTGTGCTGGTGGTGTGTCACATCCCCGGCCCCAGGGGCCCTGGCTCCGTGTGGGCTGCTGTACCTCCACGGGGGGCTGCATAGCCACCCTGGGCAATGTCGCCAAGGCCACTTGGGATGCCATCTCCAAGACCTACAGCTGTCTCATCCCGACCTCTGCAAAGAGACCGTGTTCACCAAGGCCCCGTCTCAGGAGTTCACTGACCGTCTTGTAAAGACCCACACCAGAGGTTCTGTGCAGAAGACCCAAGCTCCTGCCGTGGTCACCACGTAGTTTGTATACAAGAAAAATGAAGGTGAATTAAGCCTGTTAAAAGCAAGAAAGACCAAAAGAGTGACTGCTTGGCACATGATAGGCACTTGCTAAACATTTGTTAAGTGAATAGTTAGACCGTGGTGGTTGTCTTGATATTCTTGATGGACATTTTTTTTTCTTTTTCCAGATATTTCTTCTTGCAGGTAGGAAGCGGAAAAAGAGCAAAACATCCAACTACCTTATCTCCACTGATCCAACAGATTTATCTCGTGAAGGGGCAAGTTATATTGGCAAACTCAGGTGAGAGCAACCTTGTATCACTGACCTATTCTTGCTGATATTTTTATTCCTGTAGTTTCAGAGCAATCTGTATCTTTTTTTACAGTGAGTATGTATTGATATTGTAATCTTAAAAAAAAAAAAAAGAAGTTAACAGAAAATCTAAGTCCCTTCCTTTAATTTTAATGAGAGATCTTTGAAACAGTGGCGATGAACATTTGGAGAACAGGCAGATGGGCTTCCATTCTATTCCATACCTGTCCTAGATTTGTATTTGTGCAGGAGAAAAAAATATGGATAATCAATGGTAACTTTTTCCTCTTGATTCTAGATCCAACCTCATGGGGACCAAGTTCACAGTTTATGACCATGGTGTCAGCCCAACCAAGGCCCAAGGTCTGGTAGAGAAGGCCCATATCCGGCAGGAGCTGGTAGCCATCTGTTATGTATGTGCCATTCTCGTAATGCACTCTTTTCCCGAGTCTTTTCCCTGATTTCCTGGGTGTCCTGCTGGCACTTTAAACATAACCAACACTGAACTCACGGTCTTCCCTCCCAAGCTTGTTGCTATTTCTGTGACCCTCCTTTTCTGTTGCTGGTTGCTTTTTTCTCTATATATTCAAGTTTTAATCATTTACAAATTGCCAAGTTTGGTTCTTTTTAAGTTTTTTTTTTTTTTAACGTTTCTTGTCTTACCTGCTCTTTCATTTTCCTAATGCCATTTTATTAACTTGGCCCTTCATCACCTTTTACCCACTGGCCAGAGGTTACAACAAAGTAGACTGATCTCTCTCTCTTTTTCTTTTTTTAAGATTTTTAAGATTTATTTATTTGAGAGAGTGAAAGAGAGAGAGCACAAGCAGGGGGAGGGGTACAGGGAGAGAGAGGGGGAGAAGTGGGCTCCCTGCTGAACACGGGGCTCGATCCCAGGACTCTGGGATCATGATCTGAGTTGAAGGCAGACACTTAACTGTCTGAGCCACCCAGGCGCCCCTCTTTTTGTTTTTTAATTGAGGTGTAATTGACATTTTAGTTTCAGATGTGCACAGATTTTATTTTTTTATTTATAAAAAATATTATTTGTTTTTATTTTTAAAAATTTAAAAGGATTTTATTTATTTATTTGACACAGAAAGAGAGAGAACAAGCAGGGGGAGTGGCAGGCAGAGGGAGAGGGAGAAGCGGAGCCTAATCCCAGCACCCCAGGATCATGACCTGAGCCGAAGGCAGACGCTTAACCGACTGAGCCACCCAGGCGCCCTTATTTATTTATTTTTAAAGATTTTACTTATTTACTTGAGAGAAAGAAGAGCATGAGGGGGGAGGAGGATCAGAGGGAGAGGAGAAGCGGAGTGCCCCCCCCCCAATGCGGGGCTCGATCCCAGGATCCCGAGACCATGACCTGAGCCGAAGGCAGATGCTTAACGACTGAGCTACCCAGACACCCCAAGATTTACTTATTTATTTGAGAGAGAGAGAGAGCACATGTGTGCACGTGCACACGTGAGTGGGGCAGGGGCAGAGGGAGAGAATCCCCAAGTAGACTGCGCTTAGTGCGGAGCCCAATGCTAGGCTCCATCTCAGGACCCATAACATCATGACCTGAGCCAAAACCAAGAGTCGGATGCTTAACTGAATGAGCCACCTCAGTGCCCTAATGTAATGAATTTATATATGTATATATTGCAAAATGATCGTCACAGTAAGTCTAGTTAACATCCATTACCACCCATGGTTACAATTTTTTTTCTTGTGATGAGAACTTTTAAGATCTACTCTCTTAGCAACTTTCATATATACAATACAGTATTATTTTTTTAAATTTGTATAGCTAACACACAATGTTACATTAGTTTCAGGTATACAGCTTAGGGATTTGACAGGTTTATACATTATGCTATGTTCATCACCAGAATAGCTACCATCTGTCCCCATACATCACTATTACAATACTGGTGACTATATTCCTTATGTGGACATAGGCATTTGAATTTTTTTTTTTAAGATTTTATTTATTTATTTATTTATTTGACAGAGAGAGACACAGCAAGAGAGGGAACACAAGCAGGGGAGTGGGAGAGGGAGAAGCAGGCTTCCCGCGGAGCAGGGAGCCCGATGCGGGGCTCGATCCCAGGACCCTGGGATCATGACCTGAGCCGAAGGCAGACGCTTAACGACTGAGCCACCCAGGCGCCCTGGCATTTGAATTTTTTACCTCCTGGTAGAGGCCCTATGTAAATTAAGCTATAATTCTCACTGTATATCATCTAGTGCCGTGCCCTCATTGGGAAATAAATATTTATTGATGATGACAAAATTGGACAGTTTGCTCACAATTGTCTCAAATTTCACTTAAGACTCAAGAGTAAGAATAAAGTTTCAAGCCAATAGAATCTGTTTTAAATTCAAGTGTTCACATTAGGTTTAAAAGGAGGTACAGTATTGCTTTTCTTTTTTTGATTCCCTGTCTCTCTTCGTTTACCTGCAGTAAAGAAATAAAATTGTTTTTGGTGTTTTTGACATCATCATTGGACATTTTACATGCCCAAGAAAATCTTGTGTTAAGAATGGGGTCTCTTTTTCCTTTCTGTTCCTGAGTCCCTGCCTTATTCTCCTATCTTCCAGGAAACAAATGTACTTGGATTTAAAGGTCCTAGGAAAATGTCTGTCATCATTCCAGGGATGAATATGAATCATGAACGGATCCCCTTTCGGCCACGAAATGTAAGTAAGAACATAGTTAATCAGCAAGGGAGTCTGAAGGACAAGAATACATACAGACAAGATCAATACAAAAAAGTACTGATTCTTGGAGAACCCCAAGTTGGAGTATGGCTCATACCCTTATTTAGGAGCGTGATCACTGCAGAACAGCAGGGTAAGTTGCAGAGTAGTTGCAAAAGTGGTTGATTTGCAGCCGCTTGTCTGCAAAGAGAAATGCCAGATAATCCATCAGAATTTTAAAATCTGCCTTAACTTTTGGCTTTCTTTGTTTCTGTTGTACCCTTCCTGAAACAGAGAAAATACTCCCCTACATCCCCTGCTACCTCACAGAGTTGAGAGCGAATGATTTCCTATGGTTCTTAGTACAAAGCAATGATTTTCTCTTCAAACAGGACCACGAGAGCTTGCTTTCCAAATGGCAAAACAAAACCATGGAGAACTTGATTGAACTGCACAACAAGGCCCCAGTCTGGAACGATGACACGCAGTCCTACGTCCTGAACTTCCATGGCCGGGTCACTCAGGCATCTGTGAAGAACTTTCAGATAGTCCACGAGAATGACCGTAAGCCTGCAGGAAGGGTTGGGCAGGAATAGGAGGAAAGATGTTCTTACATGGTGGGGAAATGAGCACTTCCTATCATTGACAGGAAGTTCTATTCAGGGGAGAATTATTTAAGAAAGAAATTATTTCTTTGGAAAGACTAAAGTGCAGTTTTATTTATTTATTTTTATTTTTTAAAGACTTATTTTTGTATTTTGGGGTGGAGGGGCAGAGGGAGAGGGAGGGAGAGAATCTCAAGCAGGCTTCATGCCCAGCGTGGAGCCAGACATGGGGCTCGATCTCACGACCCTGGGATCATCACCTGAGCCGAAATCAAGAGTCAGACGCTCAACCCACTGAGCCACCCAGGCGTCCCTAAAGTGGCAGTTTTAAAGTAAAACTTCTGAACCACTGTTTGGGAAGTAGATGCAATGGCCCCACTCAGTAAAGGTTCCTCAGCACGTTTAGCCCTTGGATCTTGTGCTGTTCCCTCCTCTGGCCCTTTCATGCTAGTCCGGGCTCGTCTCCTGCTCTCTGAGAGGAATAGTAATAGAAACTTGGCTCATGGTTAGCAGACACTCTTTTTTTTTTTTTTAAAGATTTTATTTATTTATTTCAGAGAGAGAATGAGAGAGAGCACATGAGAGGGGGGAGGGGCAGAGGGAGAAGCAGACTCCCCGCTGAGCAGGGAGCCCGATGCGGGACTCGATCCTGAGACTCCAGGATCATGACCTGAGCCGAAGGCAGTCGCTTAACCAACTGAGCCACCCAGGCGCCCCAAGCAGACACTCTTGTCAGTGCCTCTTGCCATCCTTCTCAAGGCTTCCCATTTTAAAGAGACCTGGTTATTGTCTGACCCATTTGGAGGATTTTTCCCTGTATTATAAGTAGGCTTTTCCCCGGTACAGCTCCATTACGTTCTAATGTCCTAATTTCTTTCTGTTTCTAGCTGACTACATAGTCATGCAGTTTGGACGTGTGGCAGACGATGTGTTCACCCTGGACTACAACTACCCGCTGTGTGCACTTCAGGCCTTTGCCATTGGGCTTTCTAGCTTTGACAGCAAACTGGCATGTGAATGAGAGAAACGGCAGGTGCCAAGCTTTCTCACTCAGAGCTTTCAGGAGCGGATATTGCCTCCTCTGCTTTTGCCCCAGGACATGAAGAGCGACAGCCCGCCCCTTGGGGAGCAATCCCCGAATGTATGTATATGTTTATACGTGCGTGTGTACATGTATTTAGGGGTATATATACACACGCACGTATGTACACACACACTCAACTTCTCTGGGTTTTACAGACCCGGTCAGGGATCACAGCTTCACATGGGTGAGACATGGTTCAGAGCACAGAAGGTTCCTGTCCAGAGCACATTGGTAACTCCTGAGGTGATTGCCCAAAGATTCTGTGCCTCAACAGTCAGATTTCCTATGCTTGGAAACTTGCAGCAAGAATCACGTTCTAATGATTAATTACCGGGGTCTTTTTTTGGAAGACCTTTTCAGAGTGGGAGAGTTCCCTAAATTGCCTTTAGTCTTCAGGTCTGTAGACTTTTTCTGTAAATGGCCAAGAGAGTCCCTCACAGCTGCTCAGCTCTGTTGTACCACAAACACAGCCAGGGCCAGTTCAGAAGCTAGTGAGTCTGGCTGTGTTCCATTGAAACTTTATTTACAAAAACAGGCAGCAGGCCAGATTTGGCCTGTGGGCTGGTTTGGGGGCCCTGGCTCTAGGGATATTTCTGTAAATGATGGGCCTCGGCATCTTCCAGAATGGGCCCGTGGTCGTGACATCATATGAGTGGGAAATGGGTATCTCTAGGAAGCAACAGTCCCACAGACTGGATCCAAAAAGGTACTCGGCTACATCCACATAGCTTTTATGTTGTTTTCTATTTTTTATTTATTTTTATTTCTTTTAAGTAAGCCTTACGTCCAATATGGAGCTTAAACTCACGACCCTGAGATCAAAAGTCACATGCTCTACTGATGGAGCCAGCCAAGTACCCCTTAAAATTTTTTTATTATATATTTTTTTCAAGTAAGCTTTATGCCCAACGTGGGGCTTCTAAAAATTTTTATTTTTATTTTACTTTTTTTTTTTTAAGTAAGCTTTGCTTTTACCTTGTTTTGGTGATGGGGTTTTCCAGAGAAAACCCCAAATCAGTGATCATTTTGAGTCCACACAGGTAGCTTAATTCTGCTGTCCTACCCAAAGTACCCATGGGAGAAGACGTCAGCCACTTTACCAGCCGACATACGCTCTCTTGGAAACACATCTAGTATTGTGTGGTCTCTGTCAGAGGGAGTGTGGTATTGTTAGAGCTGGCTTGCCTTCCTTGTGGGGCTTGGATGGTACTGACGTCACTGTCCCCTACTTCCCCCTCTTTCCTCAGAGCAGGTTGGCTAGCAGCAATCTCAGTCAAAGCGGCTATGGCCAAGTTTTGTGATCAGTGATGTGAGAAATGTATTGTCTTAATTTCAGTTTAGGCTGAAAGCATAAACTCTAGAGGTGACTTAGTCTAATTAAGACTGAGCGTAATTTGACAGTTGCCTTCATTTTCAATCCAGGAGTGCCTCTTACAGCTATATTACTATGAAGTCATAGTATAGAGGGACACACACACCTGTAGACCATGTAAGAGGTAAGAGAACATTGTGTATCGAAACTTGTCATTGTCATTATCCAGAGAGGTGGCAGGGAGGCTTTGGTGACTGAGCTCTGCAGACCGTGTTAGGCAGAGCTTTGGACCTTTCTTCTTAACAGAAATATTATCAGCTCCCTAAAGCCTGGCTCACTGGTACCCATCACGTTCCTGTCCCTTTTCCTCGCAGATCATAAGAGTTTTGCCAAGTCTTTCAGATTATTAGCACCTCCCAACAAATCCTATGACTCTGCTTGCCACCAGTTCACCAGTCTCAGAATGCATCTGACTCTTGAGAATCCAAGAACCTTGTGAGTCCTACATTCAGCATTGTCCTACTCCCAAGCCTTTGTGCGCCGAGCTGTTGCCAGCATTGGGCAAGGAGTCAGGGCTGTTGTGCGATTATGTTTCCCTTCTGCGGACTTCCTTTTCGTCCCCGCTTCCTGTTGTTCCTTGCTCCACATCAAATAGCAATGCGAAGGAAAGAGATGTGGGAGATGAAAAGACTCTTTGCCCATCCCCCACTGGCGAGGCCTGTTTGCTTTGTTTTGACATGCTTGGTTTCCATCTCAGGCATGCTTCCTATCAAGTGCCTCATTCATAGAAGTGCCCTAACGCCCTTCAGACCTCTCGCGCCACTGTCCTGATGGACTGTCTAATCCGCCCTCGTTGAAAACGGAAAGCCTGACGGGACGACTGGATCTAATCCTTCTTCCTCCCGCTTTGTCTGGCTCCGAGACATCTATGCCCCAGCTTCATGTACTCTCTGCTTGAACGTGCAGGCGATTGGTTTTACAGAAATCATATTTATACCTTTTGTATGCTACAGAAATAAAAGATAATTTATATAAAAATGTGAGTGTCTCCAGTCTTCTGTGTGAAGTCCCATCCCTTATGGAGTTCCTGCAGTCATGTTCTGGAATAATAAATTTCATCCTGTGGATTTCATCCTGTAAATCAGGATGCTATCATCCCAGGATAGCAGGAGTCTGCAGACTCAGAAGTCTGTCTCATCATATTCGTGACACCAAGAATTTTCTAGATAGATGATAGAGCCAAGAACTGAGCAAAGAGGGGTCCACAGAAGGGTGGGGTTTATATTGTTCTAGATACCTGCACTAGTCAGCCTCCTGGATCTTCTTCTTCTTCTTTTTTAGGGACATCTCCTTTTGAAATTTTTTTTTAATTTGATTTATTTTTAAATAGGCTCTACACCCAACGTGGGGCTTGAACTCACAACCCTGAGGTCAAGAGTCATGTGCTCTACCAACTGAGCCAGCCAGGCGCCCCTCCTGGATCTTTGTCAGCATCACTTACTGATTCAATATCTAAAACTGAAATAGACCCTGTCTCTTGCCTCTGAGTGTTCACATTTTAGAGCTACCTCACAGAGACAAGTTGAAAAAAATTATGTGTTCACAGATCTTTACTAGGCCTTCCTGCTCTTATCAGTGTCATAGTGAAAATGAGTCACATGGAAGGAACCAGGAAGAGCGTAAAAATCAGGATGAGAGGTGGAGTCAGAGTTTAATTCTTAGGGCTTGGTTACTCTTTTTCACATGGTTCTTTTTGGCTAAGGTGCACGGCTGGCTAAACAGATTATTTATGACACAATTTATTGTATACTTTTCAGTGACCAGGAGTAATATCAATGCTTCAATGGTCATCGACATGAAAGATATCAGCAAGTGGTTTTTAAAAATCTAAAACAGGCCTACAGAAGGTTCTTTTTGATCAGAAGTTTAGCAGATCACACAACTAGCACCAATTCACTTCCTTTAGCCAGCATTGTAAGTACAGAAATAAAGCAATAGTTTGATTGAGGCCAAATCCCAGGGTTTTGAACCCTTTTGTGCCGGTGATTTGCCTGCGCCTCTTTCCTCCTCTATACATTGAGAGGGCTCAAACTATATGATCTTCAATTCTTGCCTATGGTTCTCCCCACTCACGCTGACAACAATGTGGAATGCAATACTTGCATTTGGAATTGAACTCTCTGGTTACCTTCTGGACAGCATCTTGCCTTTCATAGCTGAAGATAATGCTGAGAGGAGTGCCAGAGATCCCAGGAAAGGACCACGGATGCTTAAGCTAAGCAACCGGAGAGGGCAGATTCTGAATATGTCTTTGGTGGGAGATTCTGGAATGGCAGGAGTGCACGATGTGGAAGAGGCAGGATCTGGTGCTAAGGAAGCGCAGGACCTCCGGGCTGCTTTTCCCCAACCACTGGAGATATCTTGCTCCACTGAGAAAACCCTGGGAAGTTGCAAGCTGCCCTTCTCCTCAGCCTCCAGCTCCCTCTCTAGATATAATGGCTCCCACACAAGTACTCATGCCATATGCCTAATGGCTGCTTCCCTCCATCTATAGCCCTGTCTTAATCTTCCCCATGTGAAACTCAGCTAGGGGCTTGCGAGGGACTGGCCAGACCCTGTCCCACCCCTCAGACACATTTCTTGATCAATTGCATATTGGGTCATTTTGCCTCTCTCCCTGCTTTGGTTGCCTAGTTGTCATAGTCAATGTATATTCCTTAAAAGTCTCACAAACTCCTCTCATCTGCAAAAAGCCAGGGATACCACAATAAATGAAAGATTTGCCATTGGTGCTCAGAATTCAGGCAAGCCTTAATTAAACCACAGATGGGTTCGTGGCACCACCTACCGACCGAGGATGCACATTACAAGTGCATTAAAATGAAAAGCGCAGATTTTGTAATCCAGAGGAGGAGGTCACAAAAGGCTCAGTGACTTCAACACCTGGACCATGTTATCACATATTTACAAAGCACCCTTGTGCTTCGGTGTGACTCTTCTGAAGGTCCGAGAACAGTAATACTTTTGGAGTTTAGAAGCCAGTAGAGGTATTCCAGGTAAAATGCCGGCACTTGGTATAGGATTGTGGCAAATATCAATATCGCTTTTATTAACATCCTTTTAAAATGAAGTGACACATTTAAGATTACATTTTTAGCCATGCAGTTATAGGAAATGGTTTATATGCACTCATAAAGAAATTCTAGATGGTTTTCCAGGGGCTATAATGAGAGGAAAGAAAAACAGAATAGTTTAACTGGGAAACTAAACATCCAGGTTCTAGTCTCAACCCTGACCTGACCTCACATTCCTTACTTTGTACCCATCTCTCTATTTCTATGTGAAGGAACAGCCTAGGCAAAAAATGCCCCTGATGTTAGTGGAAATTTTGGAAATACTTCAACTATGAAATGGATCTCCCTGATTTTTTCTGGCTCTTTTGGTCCATCAGGCCCACGCTCCTTTCACAAGGTTCTAGGACTAGGGCCCAAGAGTCTGGAGGGAAGAAAAGAGAGGAAGCCCCAGAAAGGGCAAAGCTGGTGGGGGCCAAGGTGAGAGTGGGAGTTTTCCTGATCTATTACCATCATTTAGTACACATTTTGGTTTAAAATGCTGGTTCTCAAGCCTCAGAGTTTTAATATCTAGTTAGATACTATCTACCCAGATTCTGTCCCTTATTATGATTTTCAAAGATTCAAAAAATACCAGTAGTTCTTTTCTGTAGTCTGGGGGCGGGAAGGCTAGAGAGGAAGAATGATCTGAGAGGAGAGTGGCAGGCAGAGGAGGGCTAGGAATTAGATTGAGATTTTAAAAATGGGGTGAATATGTAATTTCTAGGGTATATATGCACATCAGGACAAACTACATCCATATAAGATAGAAGTTTGACCTTAAAAAATATGTCCTCATTTTGCCTTGAATCAATTTTATGTTATTCCGTATCAGATATATAGAGATATGAATTCTAAATATTAATAATTTCATATGGTCTAAAAGAAACTTTAAAAACTACAATGAAAGCATCTGCCCATATCTGTCCCCTTCTTTTCCCCTTGCCCTGTTCCCTTCCTGTAGTTAACTCTTTTTAGTTTCCTTCTAGTGTATCTTCCTAATATTTCATTATGCAAAAATAAATGCATTTGTAACTCCCCAACCTTTGTCCACAAAATATATATAGCATACTATAAACTCAGTTCGACAGCTTGCTTACTATACCCTGGAGATAATCCCCTATCAGTAAATGCACACCTTCCTCATTTTTGTTTACGCTCCACAGTATTTCACTGTGGGAGTACCAGTGTTTTTATTTATTTATTTATTTTTAAAGATTTTATTTATTTCAGAGAGAGAGAATGAGAGACAGAGAGCAGGAGAGGGAAGAGGGTCAGAGGGAGAAGCAGACCCCCTGCTGAGCAAGGAGCCCGATGTGGGACTCGATGCCGGGACTCCAGGATCATGACCTGAGCCGGAGGCAGTCACTTAACCAACTGAGCCACCCAGGCGCCCAGTACCAGTGTTTTTAATTAACCCCCTCTGTATGGACAATTTGCACATTAGAAATTTTATCAGGGGAGAAGGGGGAGAAAAAAAGAAATTGTATCAGTGTGTTTTGAGTATATGCAGTGTTCCAGGGACCCGTGTTACCTATTTTAATCCTCTTCTTTTTCACTCTTCACACTCAGTCACTACTACAACGTGACACCTTTACGTTGGGTGCTCCCACGGCCCTGAATGCTTCCCTTAGCTCTGCAGGTGTTCTCTGCCGGCCTGCTAAGCAGCGCCTGGAGGGTGGTCCACCACCGCGCTGTCCCACACCTTAGCCACTAGTTGTGGGCCGTTATTTACATTTAAATGAATCAAAATGAAATTCCGTTCTTCAGTCGGGCTAGCTACATTTCAAGTGCTCAGTGGCCACAAGTGGCTAGTGCCTACCATGCTGGACGGTGCAGATAAAGAACGCTTCATGGGGAAATTCCTTGTCTAGCTCCCTCATTCGACTGTTAGTATCTCGAGGGGCAGGGATGGGGATTTTTCTGTTTCCCCCTGGTGCTTCCCTAGCACAGTGCCAAGGACATCATCCGTGTTCAATAAATGTGGAGTGGGAAAATGAGTGATGAGGACACGGGGCTCATGGTCTAAGTGTGCCAAGGTCACAGTCAGCATGCGCCTGAGCTGTTATTTGAACCCAGACGGTTTAGGTGCCCAGTAAGGTCATAATGACTTATGTTAATTTTCAAAATATTGAATCTGTAGCTACTGAAAATGAAATCTGTAGCTGAATAAGACTGCGGAAAGCTTTTCCTTCCTTTCGTTTTTTTTTTTTTTCTGGAAGTCTTGGATATCCGAACCTAAAGATCCCCTGGGAACCTCAGAGAAACTCGCACATGAGAATTGGGTGGGGAAGGCTCCAAGCTCCAGCCTCTGGAAAGCAACAGTTTGTTTCGGTCTGTAAATACACTGGATGAGTTTGCCAGGGCTGCCATAGCAAAATACCACAGACTGGGGGGCTTAAACAGAAGTTGACTTCTCACAGTTTTGGGGGCTAGAAGACAAAGATCAAGGGGTTGGCATGTTTGGTTCCTCCTGAGGCCTCTCTCCTTGGCTTGCAGATGGCGGCCTTCTTTTTGTGTCTGTGCGTGGCCCCCTTCTGTGAGTGTTCTGTGTCCTTCCTGATCTCTCTCCTTATAAGGGCACTGGTCAGCTGAGATGAGGGCCCCCCCTAAAGACCTCTTTTTTAACTTAATCACCTCTTTAAAGACATTATCTCCAGATCCACTCACACTCTGAAGTACTGGGGATTAGGACTTCAACGTGTGAATTTGGGGGAGACACAATTTAGTCCATAGCATCTACTTAGTTCCCTAGATAGACTTAGAGTCAACCCTCTTTCACATTTATCTTTGACAAAGAGAGAACAGAACTAATATTCTGTTTATCAAATTAAAGGCTGCTTTTATTCGATAAAGAAAGACTGCAAACACCTTTGGTAAAGTTCTGCTTTGTTCTTCAGAACACAAGATGCACTTCGGTTGATACGGAGTGAGAAGTCTTCTTAAGGAAAAGCAAACAGAAGTATGGAGAGGTTGAAAAAGGAAAAGGAACCTGAGTACCAGGGGACCACAATCACAGGAGGAACTCAGTCCCAAAACAGGGTTGTAGGCGGGTGGGGGGCATGCTTTGGAGATATCTGAAAAGTGCCTTTTACCTAGTGGCTGGGGAATGATCTTCTCCTTGTCAACTTGTTATTAGGCCATTAAGTCCAGTTGCGGGTGGTTTTTAAAAAAAGATGTGGTGAAACTAGGGAAGGGTTAGATACACAGTTCTAGTCACACTTTTCTCCCCCACTGTAAAAGTACAAGTTCGTTGCATATAGGAGGCAGAAGAATAAAATGCAGAAGAATAAAGGAAATAAAGAATAACACCTGAAACTAATGTAACATTGTGTGTCAACTCTACTTCAATAAAAAAATAAAGAATGAAAATGAGAGGGTGCCTGGGTGGCTCAGTCCATTGAGCACCTAACTCTTGGTTTCGGCTCAGGTCATGATCTCAGGGTGGGGAGGTTGAGGCTGGAGTCTGGCTCTGCACTCAGCGAGGAGTCTGTTTGAGATTCTTTTTCCCTCTCCCTCGCCTGTACACCTTCCCCTTCTTGCTTGTGCACATGTTCTCTCTCTCTAATACTTAAATAAAATCTTTAAAAAAAAGAATGAAAATGAGAAAATTAAAAAATCCCGTTAATCTTCAACATGTCAGAGGTAATCACTCAAATACTTTTCAATTTATTTTTCAAAAACAGGATCATCCCACATATACTGCTCTTAGAATCTGTATTTCCACTTATATCATGAACAATATTTGTCTGGTTTACTTTAAAAAAATCTTGTTATTAATAACTGAAAAGAATTCCATCATATAGATGTGGTTGAACTTGTTTAAAACATACAGATAATTTGTTTAACTATGACCATGCAGGTTGGAAAAACAAAATTTATTAAAGGAGTGGAAATAATACCGAACCACACGTGGTAAAAGTAATTAATATAATTTTTGACTGTAATTTTGGAGTATAGACAACACAAATACCCTCCCCACATGAAACCTGGCTCTGACCACAGCCCTGCCCTCCTCCCGCACCACTCACCAGGAAGCCTGGGTGAGATGCAGCTGTAGGACTGGGTAGGGTGGTCTGCTTCACTAAGAAGTGAGGTGAGCTGTGGATTATATGGTGTCATTTGAGGGGAACCATATGCATCTCTTCAAGCTTGATTTGGACAGATGCGATAATTCCACCAACGATTCATTCCTGAGGGTCACTGAAAGAGGGTCCTGTCCCTTAAGAAAGGTATTACCCCTGGGGAGGGGCAGGGCACGTGTGTAAAATCAGTCAGTCTTGAACCTTCAGAACTTCCATGTCTGAGAACTATAGCCAGAGGGACCGCGACAGCTTGGGAAATGAGATTCCTGAAGGCGCAGAGCTCTCTAGAAGCCTGTGAGGGTGTCGACCAGGAGGCTGAGCTCCTGAAGGCATGCTATTCCAGCCTGTATCATTTAGGGTCTCGGCTAGTTAAGATTTGGAGGGAATTAGCCAACCTGATCTCCGAATTTCCTCTCACCTTTGGGTTGGAGGTGACACTCCCAAGGTTGCTTTATTGTCTCCGCTCTGGACTCTGTTCCTCTAAACCCTCTGAACCTTGGCTGGACTCAGCTCCCAGCTAACCTATTTCTCCTTGCATTTGAATTCTTATCTCAGCGAATGGTACCACCAATTGTTCACTTGTCAAAGCTTAGTGAGTTTTGATTCCTCTCTCACCCTCACAGCCAACCTAGTTACCAGTTCTTGTTGATTTTGCCTGGGGACTGTTTCTGAGACCCTCTCCCTTGTTGTTGTCAAGCTCAGGAGCACGGCCTGAGCTTTGGGCACCCGGACTCTCCAATCCAGCCCGACACTGTGGCCAGAGGGGTCTTTCTAATGATCCTACTGATTATGTCACACCTGTGTCAAAATGACCTTTCCGATGCCCAAACTCTTGAGCATGGGATACGATGATCTTCACAACCTGGCACCCACTTATTGTAATCTATTCTTCCAGCACACCAGTTTACAAGACTTTTCCTACTTTTCCTACACACCCTGTGTGTACATGCTGCTATACCTTTGTGGGTCTTCCACCCTTGAGTTGGTAAGTTCTCATTTATCCTTCGAGGGCTGGAGCAAACGTTGCCCCTGTAACTTAGAGTTCATTGTTCCTTCCCTTGGGTTCCCTGTGAGCTCCGTATAATTGTCTTCCCACCTAAACTGTGAACTTCCTGAGGGTAGTGACCTGTCCCCTGCACCTAGCATGGTGCTCCAAGTCAACACTCAACAAATAATTATTGCATTAGATAGCCATTGTGTAGTTTGTACTTCCTTTGGTGCCTACATACTGCCCTGCAGTCTTTTCATGTATGTGAGGTGTGACCAAGCCCTGATGTGACTCATTATTTAATAAGCATACCAGAATTTATGTAATCAAATCAGAGCTGCTTCCTTCAAAGTCTTCACCTTATGAGACTGGATATTTCGTCCAGTGATGCTGTCATTGCTCAAAACACCTTTGGAACACCTCTCTTGGAAATAACTTTGGCATTTATAGCACTGTCTTTTCAATCTCCTCTGTGGTAGCTTTTTTGGTTTCCGTTTATTCAACATTTATTATGTGCTTATCTATCCCAGGCACCAAGGTGGTGCTGGGTGAAAGATAAATCAGACGTTTACTCTGTCTTCAAAGAAGTTTCTGTTTGGTAAGGGAGATACCATCTGGACAGCCACAGCAATACAAGGTGAAGTGATAATGCTCCCGCCGGCTTGGATCTGATTTTTGGAAAAAGCCAAAAGTCCTTTGGTTTCAGCCTCCCAACAAGGTGAGACAGAGAGGTACGTGATAACACTGCTTTAAGTCAACACTTCCAAAAAGGAGTCCAGTGCGTTTCCCGCACCCCTCTCCCCAACAAGAGAGTAAACTATCTGGTACTTCACTTCAAACCCAGACTCCCACTTTGCAGCAATGCTCTTCTATATACGGAGTCTTCCCAGCTAAAGCTAAGCTCTTTGAGGGTAGGTGCTGAGGTCTTATTTTCATTTTTGTTTTCACAGCATCTGGGGGACACATAATATATATTGGATAATCCTATTGAGTTACTGAGCCCAGAAGGTGTCTCCCCGTGCCACACGGACTTCACATCGAGTCTCCTCTCCCCATGTGCTTTATATATGCTCTTGGTAGGGACAGATCCTCAAGGGACAGACAACGACCGAAAGGACCAACGCCGGGGAGGGCACGCGTGGGGGCACTGGCGGCGGATCTGGGACTAGAGCCCGCGAGTTCCTGCTTCCTGGTTCCCCGGAGCGAGTGTCCTTTGGTGGGAGCCGCGGGGAAGGGAGCAGCCCTTCCTGCGCGTCGGGCGCCCGCCCCTTCCCAGGCCTCCCAGGGACTTGTGCGGAGCGGCGCCGGCCGGGGACGCCGAGGGTGGCAGGGCCACCCCACAGGACCCCCCCTTCCCCCCACCCCGGTTATGAGGAAGGTTTTTAGCTCCTGGGAAAGACAGTCGGAGACGCGGCCAGGAAAGGCAGGAACCGGGGGGCTCCGGGAGGACGAAGAGAGTCGCGGCCGAGAGATCCAAGGGAACGTCTGGTCGCCGGGAAGCGGCGGAGGCCGCGTCCGAGCCGAGGGGTCCGCGCCGCCCGGCCGCCGTCCCACCGCCCCGCCGCGCGCGCGCCTCCCCTCCCCCTCCGGCCCCGCCCCCGCCCGGCCGCCCCCTCCCCCTGCGGCCCAGTCTCCTCCCCGAGGGGCCGGGGGCAGGGCCGCCCCTCCCTCCGGCTCCCTCCCTCCCTCAGCTGCGCGCATCTCATACCAGCCCTCATTCCGCACATTCCAGGCTTCCTCCTTTCAAACTCCAGGCCAGGGGGCGGGCAGGGCCCGAGCTCCCGGCTCCCGCCGCCCGCGGCCGCGTCCCCCAGGTGAGTGGCGCCCGCCCCGCCGCGCGCCCCCCCGCCCCCCGCCGCGCCGGCCCCTCGGCCGCGTGCGCCGCCGCTCTTTTCTTCCCCCTCGCCCTTCCCGCCCCGGACCTCTGGGCCCGGCCCGCGCCCCCGCTGCCCTCCCTTCCGCCGCTGGCCCCCGGGCTCCCTTCCTCTCGCCCGTTGACTCACTCCTCCAGGAATAGGGAGCTCCCGTGCTTTCCCGTCAGTCCCATTCTGGGAAAACTCCTCCCTCGGCGCGCTCCGCTCCGCTCGGCTCGGCTCGGCGCGCCAGCCCCCGGCGGCTGCGAAGCGGGTGCGGGCCGGCGCGGGGTGGGCTCCGGCCGCCGCCCGCCCTCCTCCCTGCCGGGCCGGTGGTCCCGGGCCGCCGCCAGGCTCCGCGCGCTGCCCCCTGTCGTCCGCAGTGCCGTCGCCGCCCCCCCGGGAGCTTAGCGGAGCCGCGGCGACGAGTTGGCGCGCGCGGCGGACCCCGTGGAGCTGGCTTAGCGCCTCCGCCCCACCTTCCCGCACCCTGGGACCGGTAAGGGTGCGGCGCGGCGCGGGGACTCGAGGACCTGGCCGGAGGGCCGGCGTCGGGCCGGGCGTGTGGAGCTCTCCCGGCACGTGGAGGCGGCGCGGACCTGGGGCTGGGGCCGGGGGTGGGGTGGGGGGAGGCAGGGGGCTTCGCGGGAAGGGGGTCCCGGACGCCGAAAGGCCCAGACGCAGAAGCGGGAGCGGCGGCGGTCGAAGGGCCCAGCACCCGTGCCTCTTTTCTGCCGGGCCCTTCTCCGACTTGGAAGAGCGAGCCCTGGAGGTAGTGTATTGGCTGGTGGAAATGATGAGTCTTTGCGAAAGTGGAGGAGATCCCTCCGGAGGGTGCCCAGCTCCCCGGGGCTTGAGAAGCCTGTCGTGTTCCGCGGTGGGGACCAGCCCGAGGGAGGAGAACTCCCAAACCCGAAGCGCGCCTTTCCCAGGGACACAGCCTCGGTGCACATGTGTGTAAAAGGGGATTCCGGTCACACACAGTGACTGTCTGATGAGTTCATGTGACCGCCTGACCGTCCCGGCTCCCTAGCTTTGGCTGTATGTGAGGGTGATACCTGTTCACATCTGACTCACCTTGGCTGCCAGTAGGCGTATTTGTTTGTGTTGAACGTGAGTATATTTCCACTCGAGGAGAGTGCTGTCTGTCTGAAAGTCTGAGTGTCTGAGTTCTTGTGCAATGCCACGTCTGTACGTGTGTATTTCTCTGTGAGGATGTTGGTTCCGGGCATGACTGTTTTTCCTGCCTGCATGACCATGGGCAAGAGACCGTGTCTCTCTTGCATGTGGGCGGGGATGATTGGACTGTGGTTGTTGGAGTGTGTGGTCCCCGGGCTCCATTCGCCCTGGACTGGGCAGAGCTGGAAGGAAGCTGTCCGCACCTGCCTCTTCCACGCAGCTGTCTTTCTGAGGGCGAGTGGGTTCTGTTCTTGCCTGTAACAGTCAGGAGAGCAAGCTGGTAGAAGGCTAAAGGAAGTTGAGATCTTTGTCTAGCGGCGATGGGATGGGTTGCTGATAGCCAGAACTGGGGATGGTTCCAGGCTGTCTTGAATCTTCAGAGGTGTGTGACCAGTGCTTTTCAAGTTGGCCCCAAGGACAAAGAAGATGGATGTGTACCAGCCTGGACTATTTTCTGCTGGTCCAGCTTTTCTTGGAGCTAGCTACCCAGTAGTCAAATGGAAGAATCTGATTCTTTACAACTTGCTAGATTACTCTCCACTTGGCTGTGGGAAGGGAAAGGGAGTAACTGCGTGCATGCTTTAGTGCGGGCTGGGAGGGAAGGGCTGCCTCTGATTTGCTAGTTGACCTGTGGGAAGACACTTCTGGGTGTCTTCAGTTTACCCATCTCTTCCTTTCTGTTTGCTTTTTTTCTCCATTTAGGGTTTTATCATTTGAAATATTTTAAAGGCAGGAACTGGGCAGGGAGGGAGCCACAACTGTCCAGGAGATTGGCAGAAGTGACATAGCGTGTGATGGTGTTGGTAGGGGGACACAGGCAGATCAGGCACAGAGTTCTTTCTTCATTCCCACAACAAGGAGATGGGGACATAATGTTGAGGACTTCTTGGAAGGAAGAAACAAGGCACTCTCAGGGGTGGGAGCTGGTAGCTGCTCCTCCATGCACCCTGAGGATGCAGGTGTTCTGGTGAGAGCCACCTCACCCTCTCACCTGCTTAGACTGGGCGTGCGGCCAGGACTTTGACGGCATCGGGTCTCAAGGCAGCATTGATGGAATAGAAAATATACAGATTTGGGGCTGGACATACCTGGGTGCAAATCCCGATAGTCACTTAAAATTGTTAAGGCCCTCAGGCTTAGTTTCCTGATGAATAATATGAGAGGGGGATAATTAATATCTCTCTAAAATGTTTGTTGTGAAAATTCGGTGTTTGCCAAGTACCCAGCATACTGTATGGCCCCTTCCAGACCTAGTAGCCAGTGTTTCCTAAGCGTATTTCAGCATGGAACCTCTTTTTTTCCCAAGAACTTCTCTGAACACCCTTTGACAAACCCTGCCCTGTTCATTTGTGTTTACTTAGCAAACATGAATTGAGCCTTTGCCATAGGCTAGACCCTGTATGGTGTTCTTCATCCTTAGGAACCAGGGTTGATGGCCCAGGTGGAGGTGGGGGCAGGGCTTTGCCCCGTGTCCCGGGAGCACAGGGTCTGCAACTCCTTTGCTCTAACTCCAGTTTTGCCTTGACCCCAGGATGAACCTGCTGAACGTTATTGGACACTCTGATCTTAGTATCTAACTCCCTAAGGAAATGCCTGGGTGGCTCAATCGGTTAAGCGTCTGTCTTCAGTTCAGGTCATGATCCCAGGGTCCTGGGATCGAGTCCTGCATCGGGCTTCTTGCTCAGCGGGGAGCCTGTTTCTCCCTCTGGCTGCCACTTCCCCTGCTTGTGCTCTCTCTGACAAATAAATAAATAAAAATCTTTGAAGACAGAGAAACTGAGATGGGGAAACTAGTGGGACAGTAACTTGCTTAAGATTACACAACCAGTGAGTCACAGAGCTGGGACTAGAGTCCATTCTGTTCTCACTTCACATTCTGTCTCCTCTTCTGTGGATCTCAACGCTCAGACCCCCTAGGCACCTTCATCTAAGAGGTATGGAGGCTGGACCGGTCTGGCTTGGTGACGTCTCCCATCTTGTGGCTCAGATAGGAGGCAGAAATACTCCCCTCTGTCCCAGCAGAAAGCACAGAACTGTAGAATCTGAGAATGCCAACTTTGGAAGGGGCCCTCTGGGGGTCTTTAAATGCACCCTCCTTTTGCCTACATTACTCCGCCAGGTGGAGAAGGGTCTGCTTATCTTTCTAGATCTCCTGGGTTGCAAATGTCGCAACGTCCCTCGACTTCCATTCTGGAGTCTTGCACTGGTGACGGGCACAGAGTGATACCTGTTGCCTAATCAGCGGCTCCTCTCCTCCTCAGTGCAAGTGGAGGACATGGGTCACCAGCTTTGCTCCGTGGCCTTTCCTGTAGTCGAGGTCAGTCTGGGGGCAGTGGGAAATTCAGGGCTTGTGAGGGTGGCTTTACCTTGCCCGTCTTGCTTTGCCCCCCATGACCCTTTGTTGGCAGGGGTTGGGGCGACAGCTCCCTTTAAAGCTCTGAAATTGGAGCTGAACAGCTGCTCTCCCGTGCCCCCCTCCTTCCCCCGGGGGTTTAACTAGCTCAGGGGCCCAGGTGGAGGTGGGGGCAGGGCTTTGTTACTGGGCAGTGCCGTCTCCAACTCTGTGTTCTAATTCCAGCTTTGCCTTGACCTCTTCTGAAATGACAGTTCTCTCCTTGCTTTTGGTCTCTCCATTTAGATACTAGGGAGACTCTAATCATGTCCTAAGTGATATGGTCCTGGAGCCTTCAGCTGGTAGCGACTGGATCTTTGGGAACGTTTCCACTGGAACTCCAGTCCCTAAGATGGGTGCCTACACCCTCCTGCCTTTAATACCGGCAGGCCCCTGGAAAGGCAGGAGGACAGGCCCGGCTCCTGGTAGTGTGGGCCAGCTCCATCACGGTGCCGAGGGTGGGCGGGCCCCCATGGGTGGGGACCTGGCTTCCTTTGACCCAAACTTCATGGGAACAATAGACTTCAGAGGAGTCACCAGGGGCAGGAAATGGGAGCTGTGCTAAGGCAGGGTGACCCTCCTGTGGGATGAGATTGCATATCCGGCTGAAAGGAAAGGCAGGGTGTTGGGGGCAGTGCATAGGGCTGATGGGGAGGGCTGATGACACATAGGGTGGGCCTCTCCTTCCCAGGGGGCCCTTTGCTTAGAGTGAAACCTGAGCTGCTTGGAGCCCATTATTTGGTGGAGCGGTCTGCTTTGTGTCTTACCAGCAAAGGTATTGTGGTGTGTGCCCGCGTCAGCTCATGCCAAGCTCACCCCTGCCAGAACCATGAATTCCCCTTCCCTTCAAGCCCTTGAGAGGTCTTCGTGAATTGTCCTGGCCAGGATAAAAGGCTAGTTTTGTTTCTTCCTGGCTGATCTCCATCTTGGCTTTGAGCCTTGAGTAATAGTTGACGAGGGAGGCAATTTGTTCAGTAGGCAGAGCTCTGGGTGGGGAGGCAACAGGCCTGGGTCAGCTGGACAACATAAAAGGGTTTTTTTTTTTTTTTTTTTTTTTTTTTTAGCAACAGTCAGAGCAGTAAGACAACCAGGACAGGCAGGGGGAGATTCCTGCTTGAAGCATGTGGTGGATCGTTCTTGGAGGCAGAGCACACTTCTCTTGCCTTTCTCTCTGGGAACAAAGAGCGGACTTGGTGAGAGGGCTCAGGAGAAGAGGAGCGGGCTTTGGGAGAAGGGAGACACTGCACCGACTTGCCTTTGGTGAGTTCCGGTGGCTGGGTTCTTACACATCAGCCCTGCCAAATCAGAGGGGGAGGGCGAGGTGGCAAAATGATAACTGTTGTTATTATTTTTCCTTAATGTGACAAGATCTGGAAATGGCAGGCTGGTAAGCCTCTTTTTTTAAGATTTTATTTATTTATTTGTTAGTGAGAGAGAGAGAGAAACAGCATGAGAGGGGAGAGGGTCAGAGGGAGAAGCAGGCTCCCCGCTGAGCTGGGAGCCCGATGTGGGACTCGATCCCAGGACTCTGGGATCATGACCTGAGCCGAAGGCAGATGCTTAACCAACTGAGCCACCCAGGCGCCCCAGGCTGGTAGGCTTCTTATTGACAAGGGGACTCCAAAATGGCACTGAGAGAACTGCTTGCCAACACAGTCACCCTACCAAGTCCTGGAAACATCTAGTTGAGGTTGGCAGGATGTTTAGTAAGGACTTGGAGTCTCATGATTTTTCTTGGGTTCAAGAGAAATAAATAGGATCGGGCTGCTGCAGCAGTAAGATGCATTTGTAGCCGGTTGAGAGGCTACCCTGGCAGCTCGTCGCTGTGGGGGTGGGAGGTCTCTAGTGACAGGCCACAGAACTCTCATTTTGGCTTCGTCCTCTATCAGTTCTGTGGATGTCTACGATAGCAAGCAAGGAGGACAGAGCCAGGATTCATAATCATCTTAATTGTCTAAATGCTGAGATATTAAGCAGAAATAGGAGAAGAAAAACCATTTTTTTCTGTTAAGATTAATACATGCTCACTGTAGAAAACCATTATAAATTAAAGAAGAAAAAATGGTACATAATGCCACAACTCAGGGATGAGCATGGTTAATATTTTGGTATATATCCCTCCAAATTTGTGTTCATGCAAGTAAATTTATATATTTTGGCATAATTGCAATTACACTGTATCCTGTTTTTTTTCTTACTGAATACTATATAGTAATATCCTGTATCATAAAAAATAATTTAAAGCCATAATTATAAGGATCTGGATAAGATTACCTTACATGAATACACCTTAATTTTTTTAACTGCACAATACCAATTTTTTTTTTTTTTAAGATTTTATTTATTTATTTGTCAGAGCACAAGCAGGGGTAGCGGCAGTCAGAGGGAGAAGTGGGCTCCTCGCTGAGCAAGGAGCCTGATACAGGACTTGATTTCAGGACCCTGGGATCATGACCTGAGCCGAAGGCAGATGCTTAACCGACTGAGGCATCCAGGTGTCCCCTACCAAACATTTTTGTAAGTTGTGTTCAATTTTTAGCCATTAAAAAATTACTTGACATTGAGTAATGTTAAATATGTATACTTATCTTAAGGTGAACTCGAATAGATTTAAATATAAAATCCTGCATTTAAGTATGTATAGAATGGGAACTTACTATCAATTCTTGGGGGAGAAAACCTGGGGCTTTGGTTGATGAAGGAAGGGGAAGGGAAACGAGCATTTATTATGTGCCTGTCAGGTGCCAGTTCTAGACATTTCTGCCTATATCACCTTGTTTAATTTTCATGGCAGCCCTGTGAGATAGGGTTTGCTGGTTTGATTTTGTTTTGTTTTTCAACCTCTAAAGAAGAGGAGGAAAACCACACAGAGATTAATTCTGGGGTTGGAGTTTGAACCTAGGTCAAACTGACTCTTCCCACTGCCCTGTTAAACCCTGAGCCTGTGTGGGCCAGTGGTGTGGCGGGGTCTGCATCAAGAACCCTAGTCCGGTAGGCTCTGTGGTGCTCTGGCCACATTGGGAGCCGTGTCTGTTTTCGGAGGTTGGATACACCCTGACTTATTAAGTACTGAGCTTGCCTATATTGTGGATATTGTGTGTGTCTTAGCAGAGGGGGAATAGGGGGTTGGAACCTGTCCCGCCCTCAGGGTGCTGTCATTTCTCACTGCTAGAAGGCAGGCCCTCTTTGCAGTACTATGGATCGGGTCCATGTGATGTGAAGTCAGTTTCACTCTGTAGAACTACATAGACCTACATGGAATTTCATGATGTAGGACGATGTAGATAGAGCTTGCTAGGGCTGCTTTGGAGGAGGTTTCTGTAGTGGGTAGGAAATGGCACCTCTGGGGCTTCTGTTTCCTCCATGTGGTCCTGGGCCTCAGTTTCTCCCGCATGCAGCAGGTGGGGATTGCCCTAGGCAATGAGGGAGGGATTTCCCCACCTTGCCATTCAGGGATTCCTGCTGGAAGGAGGTAAAGATGAGCTATCTCCAGAGCTGGAGGCAAGGCTGAGAGATGTGGGGTGGGAACGGGCCGTGTCTGAGCCGTTGGAGGAGATGGACTGGGGAGTTGTGGGAGTTACTGCCTGGCTCCCCATCACGTACCAGCTGAACGAGCAGGTGTGAGGGACAGGCTGCTCCCCTGAGGCTGGGGCAGGGGAAGATGAGTAGTGGCCACAAGCACAGACCCCAGAGCCACACTGCCTGATAGGAATATAATGTAAGCCACATATGTAATTTTAAGTTCTCTAGGAGCCACACTTAAAGAGTAAAAAGAGGGGAACCTGGGTGGCTCAGTCGGTTAAGCGTCTGCCTTCAGCTCAGGTCATGATCTGGGATGGAGTCCTGCATCAGGCTCCTTGCTCAGCATGGAGCCTGTTTCTCCCTCTGCCTGCCACTCCCCCTGCTTGTGCTCTGTCTGTCAAATAAATAAATACAATCTTAAAAAAAAAAAAGAAATTGGTAAAATGAATTTTAATAATATATCAAACAACTATGTCTAAAATATTATCATTTAAATGTGCCATCAATAGTAAAAAAATATATTAATGAGATAGTTTATATTTTCTCATATGAAGTGTTGGGAATCTGGCGTGCATTTTACACTTACCAGCACATCTCACTTTGGATGAGCTGCTCTTCAAGGGCTCAATGGCCACATGTGGGTGGTGGCTAGTGTTTGGACAGCATAGCTTTATAGCCCGCCTGCCTGGGTCTGAATCCCTTTTCTGCCACTTACCAAGCTATGTGGCCTTGGGCAAGCTATCTGACTGCACTGTGTCTTACTCTCCCCTCTGCAAGTTGAGGAAAATATTAATAGAACCAACTTCATATGGTTAATGTGAAGATTAAATTAGTTAATATTTGTAATATGCTTAGTTTTTTACATGGCACATACTAAACTATACAAGTGCTTATCAAATAAATGGTCCTTAAACTCCGGACAGGCTAAGTTTTAATTTTGTAAGAGGGAGAGAGGCCAGGGATATGCTGGGAAGAACCCAGTCCTGGAGTGTCCCTATCTGTAGTCTGTGCCTCTACCCCGTAGTTCTGCGTCATGAAATTGTCTTCAGATCAGATGGACCTAATCTACTATTGCTGAAAAGAAGGCCCGCCTTCTGGACGTGAGAAGAAATGTCAGCACCCGTGTGATAAGACAGGTTCCAGTCCATCAACAGGTGTGTCCTGAGCATCTGTCCTGCTTGGGGCTTGGAACTGTGCTGGGTGGTGCTGAAGAAGCAAAAGCATCCTCCGAAATGCTCCATCGTAAATTACATGACCTCATGTTGGAATGGGGGTTGAGGTCACTTCCAGCACTTGGAGGTTTAAGCAATAGTTGTGCTGCTTATGCAAGAGAGGAAGCAGAGCTGTATTAGTGGCTTCTGATACCCTCCTCCAAGCTCTGCCAGCCCCAGCACTGCCAGCCTGCCTCTCTTGGCATTGGCCCCCGCCGCCTGCACCTGCCCTCAGCCACTCCACAGTGGTCACAGAGCACCCACTGTGTGCCTGGCACTGTGCCAGGGGGCGGCGGGAGAGATGTGGAACGGAAGACCTGGTCCCTGTCCTCAGGGGGCTTACAGTCCAGCAGGGGAGACGGACTGAGTAGCAAACACCGAAAACCCGCAAGATTAAAGAAGGGCTAGTTAGAAGCACACACTAGGGCTGAGGGGATGCCTGGTAAAGGTGATTCCTTCTGATGGGGCTGGGAGGGGTCAGGGAAGGCTTCTCAGAGGAGGAGGCACTTGAGCTGGCTTTGAAGGATGGGTAGCGTTTCGATAGCTCTGTGTGTGTGTGTGTGCGCGCACGCAAGAGCGAGCGTGTGTGAACAGGAGCAAGAGGTGGGGCGGGAGAGAGGGAGAAATACAGGTGAGAAGATAGGAAAAGTGGTAATTTCAGAGTCATGGTCATAAAATTAGAGGAGGCGGGATATATAGGCTTTATGAGTGAGGTGGATTTGAACCAGGTAATCTGGGCAAAATGAGGACTTTTTAAACATTTATTTTTAAATTCACGTACAGCAGAATTTACTCTTTCTAGCATACAGTTCTCTGGGTTTTGACAACTGCAAAGTGTTGGGTATTCTCCAGCACGGTCAAGATACAGAATGGCTCCATCTCCCCCAAAGATTCCCTCATGCTGACACCCCTTTGTTGTCTGTCCGTCTGTCCCCCTCCCCCTGTCCCCGACCCATGCCCATCCCCTGACAACATGGCTCTTTCCACTCCTGTCATTGTGCCTTTTCAAGAATATCAGATGGAGTCATACAGTATGTGGCTTTTGGGTCTGCTTCTTTCACTCGGCATGATGCCTTGAGTCACCCAGTTGTGTGTATCAATAGCTTGTTCCTTTTCTTGCTGTGTAGGACTCCATTATATGCATACACTGCAGTGTGCTTATCCAGTCACTGGTGGACGGACTGTAGGTTGTTTCCAGCCTTTGTTGATTTTGAATAAAGCTGTTGTGAACATTTGTGTACAGGTTTCTGTGTGGACACAGGCCTTCATTTCTCTTGGATAAATAGCAAGGAGTGGGATTGCGGGTCCCCACGGTGGCGAACGTGCGACGGGTTCAGACACGCGTGGCTGTTGGCGCAAGCGTACCGCTCTGCATTGGTACCGGCGACGCGGGAGCGTTCTGGTGCTCCGATTCTTCAACAGCACTTGGTATTGTTGGCTTTTTGTTTCTGTCTTTGACAATGTAACCGGGGTGTAGTGGCATCTCATTATGGTTTTAATTTGCATTTCCTTAATGACCCGTGATGT